ATTAAACTTGTCTATTTTACTACAGTACACTTGGATTTACATTTCAAATATAAATGTGTTTAGTCGACTAAATGATCTTGTATATATGAGTTGTGGTAAGCAAATGAAATGAAACTATATATCTATAGAATTTCACCTGCCATTTTTTTTTAACTTTGGCAGTTCAAATTTGTTTTTACCTGCCATTTCTAAAATATGGCCTGCTTTTGGCCATTGGCAGCCTGCTATTTCGAGCCTTGAGTTTAAAGAATCAATAAAATCATGTACCAATTTGTACAAAAATCGTTTAACTTACCTACCAGACTAAGGTTTTGAAGAGATGTATCAAGTTCCCACTCTCCTCCGCAGAGGCTTTGTAGATCTTTGTAGCTTGTTTGTATTTCAAATGTGTTTTCTGCCATAAATAGTGTGTTAACCACAGAACCGAAAATCAAACCAGACAACCGAACATTATTTGGCAGAGGTTTCCCTTTCTCTTTTCCCTCTTCCCGTCTTTCCCCGCGAACTTGGTTGTGTGATTCCCTATTATCTCCAAATGTCCACGATGCCCCCTTTTAACCCCGCGCGCTCGCTCCGCCCGCGTGCCCACTTCTCTACCTAGCCCGCTACTGCCCGCAAACTCTTTAGTCAAACTTCAGTTATATATAGAACGAAAACAAACTACAATATAGAAAGAAAACAAATTACAAAGATCTACAAAGCCTCTGCGGAGGAGAGTGCTATTGAACAATAAGATAGTAAAATCGTGCTTAAAATCGGCATGAAATATATATAGAGGATATTAAACGGCGGCGCGAAGATATGACTTTTATCATCGAGTGGTGATATCGCGTTTTTAACGCGAGAGGATAAAAATCATATCTTCAAGCCACCGTGTAATGTTCTGTTTATTATATAGTCCCAAGCAAAAAATTGTGAAATTTCACGCTCAAAAGCACATGGAAAAAGTCACGTGATCGATATCTTCACTAGTGAAGATATAGAAAATATATATATCTCACTGTGTATTTTTCAGGATCTCACTCTCTGCTATATAATAAAAGCCCATTCTTACGGAATTACTATAACTACGAAAGTTTATCACCGTATAAGTCTGTACATTTCACTGGCATCAGTAGTTATTGTGATGTAAGAAAAAGCGTCGAGTTGCGTGTGATATTATTCATTCGTAGTTAGTAATTCCGTAAGAACGGTTACTATTTATGCCGAGTACTAGTGTTATCCCCGATAGAGAAAACCACGAAAACAAAAAGGTTTTTCTCCTTTTATAATAATTCAGCTTTTTATCACTCGTGTGTACTTTTAGTCAAGATCTGCTAAAACAGTCTATTATATTCGCTTACATAAAGGGAGGAATCTAAATAACTCACAAGTTCTATGTCTCTGTTATCACAAATGTGAGATATATTTAAAGTAGTCTAAAAGGTTATTGGATTGTTTAATTTATTTCAGTGTCTCTAGATGAACACTATTCTACCAACTTGATATCTTGAATTATTGATGATGCAAATACAGTATGGTTGTGCGGCAATTCACTTTTTTGTCGTTGTTGTCGTCGTTATCGTTGTTGTTGGTGTTGGTGGCGCTATTGTTGCTATTGCTATGTTGTCATGTAAAAATTTACCACTACAGGTTTCTACCATTTTGTAGAGCTTAAACTCCAGTTTCGTTTTGCTGCATCTCATGCAGATGACTGTAGAAATGATCTTCGTCTTCCTTTGCAGTTCTATTGAGTGCTGTATACGTAGCATCGCCTACTTCTTCATAGTTTTCGTTTTCTGTTTTCCCCGTTGTATTATCTGGCTGCTCGTAAATACCATCAGTCATCGTTGCATTGCTTGGTCCGTTGTTGCTAGTTGTTCCCTTCCTGTTCAATGCTGCTCTTAATGCTCGAGTTTTATAAACAAAATAAACAACAAGGACAAGTAGAATGGCTAGAATGATCCCCATCACTATAATACCAATAAGATAACCTTTATCATCTTCAGAATCTGCTTCTGCATCTTAAAATTAAAGAGTAATTTAATTGACAATTAGACAATGGTCTTTGCGGTTAAAGTAATTCTTCCTTAAAAATAGGTAGAAACTGAAAAACTAAAAAAAATTTCAAAGAAATCTTGGAGGCTGGGTAAAAGTGTACACTTTTTGTTTGCGAAGAATAAAACTTCTGGGCTTCAGTGTATGCAATTATATAATTATCTGAAAAATAGATGACGATCACGTGACAAAATATACCGATCGGATAGATTTAGTCGAAAGAGAGTATTACCAGAAAAACGAAAAATCACATGCATGGCGCAATATTGTAATGAAGGTAGGTGATAAAAACATAACACAAGATATATAATATGAAAACAAGTAAGAAGTACGGTGAAATGTGGATGTAAAGTGCTACAAATTAATAGTTGTTGAGGTCAGGCATTAGACGTATCATGTAAAGTCAAGAAAAATCTTCGTCAATACCGGCATGGGGGTGAATTATCCAAGTTTGGAAATTAGAGGCATTTACTGTCCGTTGTCGTGATCATTGCTACTTACCCGAAATAAAAGAGCGCGCTCGAATTTTCGCATCCGAAACACTATAATTGCCAACATTAAAATGTTTGACAATTACAGATTGGTTAGCGTCCTTGTTGATGAAAATATACGATCATGCTCACGTATCAAATTCTTCTTCTAAATCCGGTTTTCCACTTCGCCCGTATCGTACCGAAACGTATTGGTGAGCATGCCCAGATTGAAAAGAGGCTTATAAGTTCACATATACTTCTGGGTGTATTCGCTTATCAAAATAAAAAGTTCGTCGCAAGTCAACTTTTTAGCGTACTACGGAAGTACTAACCAATCAACGTTCACGAAATTTTGAAATTTAAAAACGTTTTTGATACGTTTCGGTACGGTACGCTTGAAGTAGTTGACCTGCACGGAAGCACATAAGCGAACGTAAAGCCTCATTAATAGAGGATAATCATTGATCACCCATTTTCTCGGGATTGGGCAACTTTTTTGCTTGGGAACTTTTTTTGGTAGTGATGTACCTACATGCCTTTCAAATAAATCTCAAACCAAGTATTTCCCACATGGGTGCCACGAAGCGAAATAATTTTGGCCAACAGCCCACGGCCGCCTCAAACCAGATAGACAAACAAACACAAAATTAAAAATATTATACGCATGTCTTGTTGCGGCCTTTGAGGAGCTGGCTGGGTTTGTTCTTCAATCTGTGGCGGTTTGTTCAGGAGGTAAAACGACCATTTGGCTGGCTGTGAGATTTCGGTACGTGAAATTGAAGCCGTCGTCCATGTGCTCCTCAAACGCCAAACTGTGATATTATATTCACTCTCCTTACTTTAATACTCTTCTTTACGCATGATTGCACTTAAAATAGTAACCTTATTCAATTAGGCCTATCTGCGTGAAAACTAGAGGTTGGCCATAAGATATGTAAGACCAATGCTTGACTTACAATCAGCTTTAACACCTACCTAACTTAAGCCAAACACCTAAATCAAGCCTATTGTTCCTACAATGCCAAATTATTTTCTCTTTGTGACATCTCTAATAATTTAAAAATTATACTTGCGTTGTCATACGATATGGCTGTGCGCATCTATGACCAATACATAACTGTGCGCATCGTTATATTAAGAAAATTCAACATATTTTTGCGTCCATCCAAAGTTCACTCGCGCCCAGTACCTTGCGGGACCTATATATTGTTGCAAATGTAGGTTCTCGTCTGTCTAGATGTTCTTGAATAATTATCAAAAGTTATCAACGGAGTATACTTCAATTATAGCAAATCTCAATAAGAAACCGTTAATTAATAAACCGGAACTAACTATCCCATCCCTCTGCACTAAATTGTAGTCTGTCAATGGAAATACATGTACATTGTCATTTACTTTTTCAAAGATTCATAAAGCCACGAGCGTTTAATTAAGTGCTCATTCCAATGAAAAGCAGTATTTCTTCAAGGCGTTTTAACCAGCATGCACGAAAGAACCGATTGAGTGCCCATGCAGCCATTAACCAATCTATCTAATAAATACATGTCTTGTCTGCGTTAAGTTGAAATAGCGATTTCTTTGCGATATTAACTTCTATAGTTATAGAATATTTAAAATATACTTCCACCTTCTTTTGTCGATGTTTTCTTGACCAATATATCAGAGCTTTGAAATAAAGTCTAAAAAAAGATATACACAATTGGAAATTTTTAAAAGTAACTACTATCCGTCTAATAAGATAAAAATACATAATTATGCATGCAAGCATTAACCTAAATCATTATTATTCAATTTCGCTATAGATTATTTAACAAAAAAAACAACAGTAAAATGTAGCTGAGAGATTTATACAATCAATTCCAGAGTGAATTCCATAAGCCTATATGCATCCATGCAATATTTCAGGCAAATCTTGACAATATTATATCAGAGTTTTGGCTATCTCACTCGATATAACTAATTGTTTAATTAAAACACGTTCTACGATAGGGTTGCATATTCTATTTAGCTCAAATTTAGACAAATCTTACGATTTGATGAAGAATTTGCAATAAATGTTGGGAATTTTGGATAAAGGTTGCCAAAAATTGCAAATATCATAACGTCTCCGAGGCTGTATTGCAATATTTTCAAATGTTCGTTTCATTTAACAAGAAATTTTAAACCAACCATTTAGACTAAAAGTCTATTTCAACTGCATTGCAGTATGGAAAAAGTATAAACTTATTTTTTATGAGAATGATTACAATTTTCAATAATAATGTCCAGAAAGTTAATTGTTATGTCATGCACAATTCGCGCGTTTATTGTGTAATTAGCAAACTTTCATAAAACTCTGGATATATTTGAGGAATAACATTCTAATGTTCATGCCAGTGTCGACATTGGCAAGTTTCTGTGATAAAAATCAAATAGTAATAAAATATTATCCAAACTTTTGTGGGAAGATACATTACTAAGAGGAAATAGGAGTTTTGTTCCATAATCATCAACTTTATATGACCGAGGTATTATTACTTATATCGTCAAATTTCATAGACGCAGAGATATTGGGTTGTTAATTTAAGTAAGTTTTGAGTATGTAGAAATCTATGGAATGGTGTGGCATGCATGCATCCAACAGAACCAAGGTGGTGTTTTAATGGCATCCGATCCAAAATGGCGTTGGTTCATCCAACACAAAAATAGTGTTAGACGTTTCCAAAACCAAAATGGTGTTGGACACATCCAAAACCAAAAATGGTGCTGGACACATCCAAAACCAAAATGGTGTTGGACACATCCAAAGCCGAACTGGTGTTGGACATATCCAAAACCGAAATGGTCTTGGACACATCCAAAACCAAAATGGTGTTGGACACATCCAAAAACAAAATGGTGGTGGACACATCCAAAACCAAAATGGTGTTGGACACATCCAAAACCAAAATGGTGTTGGACATATCCAAAACCAAATGGTGTTCAACACATCCAAAACCAAAATGGTGTTGAACGCATTTAAAATCAAAATGGTGTTAGTATTCTATGGTATTCAAAATGGTTTGGTCAGCCGGGATGAAAACACTCTGCCCTATAAATGCGGTTAAATGTATGGTCATATACTAGCTGGATAATAATATTGCAGAGTTTATTACATGTATACGTAGAAAATTCTGAAATGAGACACAAGGGTTTTAAATTAAATTAAACTAGGGTTTTGCCTTGGCATTATAATGCTGTATTTAGGTTTTGTTATCCACGTGAGTATATATACAATTTAAGACCTGACCAGGAACGACTGCGAAAAATGGTGTTGGACACATCCAAAACCAAAATGGTGTTGGATGCACCCAAAACCAAAATGGTGTTGGACGCATTTAAAACCAAAATGGTATTGGTATTCCATGGTATTCAAAATGGTTTGGTCAGCAGGGATGAAAACAAGTGAGTATATATATACTTTAAGACCTGACCAGGAACGGCTGCGAAAAATGCAGCACAAGGTCCTCTGGTAGGAATTGAACCTATGGCCCTGTGATTCCAGTGCAGCGCTCTAACCAACTGAGCTACAGACTACAGAGACCAGCTGTTTAGCGGTAACTGTAAGTTCATGGATATATAGGTGATCGGGTGTGCAGGTTGTGATAAGGTGGACTTAAATGATCTGGTTTCTTGCACTTCACTTGGTGGAATTAATACCAGAATGCTGTTTTTAGGGTTTGTAATCCAAGTGAGTATATATACACTTCAAGACGTGACCAGGAATGACTGCATAAAATGTAGCACAAGGTCCTCTGGTAGGAATTGAACCAACGGCCCTGCGATTCCGGTGCAGCGCTCTAACCAACTGAGCTACAGAGGCCAGCTGTTGAGCTGTAACCGTAAGTTCACGGATATATAGGCGATCGGGTGTGTGGATTGTGATAAAGTGGACTTCAATGATCTGGTTTCTTGCACTTCACTTGGTGGAATTAATATTAGAATGGTGTTTTTAGGGTTTGTAATCCAAGTGAGTATATATACACTTCAAGACCTGACCAGGAATGATTGCATAAAATGTAGCACTATGCCCTCTGGAAGGCATTGAACCAATGGCCCTGCGATTCCGGTGCAGCACTCCAACCAACTGAGCTACAGAGGCCAGCTGTTGCAAAGTGCAAGTAACCAGATCATTGAAGTCCACCTTATCACAAACCGCACACCCGATCACCTATATATACATGAACTTACGATTACAGCTTAACGGCTGGCCTCCGTAGCTCTGTTGGTTAGAGCGCTGCACTGGAATTGCAGAGGTTCAATTGCTACCAGAGGACCTTGTGCTGCATTTTCACAACCCGCACACCCGATTACCTATATATACATGAATTTATGGTTACAGCTCAACAGCGCTAGCTGGCCTCTGTAGCTCAGTTGTTTAGAGCGCTGCACGTTGCACCGACATCGAAAGGCCGTAGGTTCAATTCCTACCAGAAAACCTTGTGCTGCATTTTTCGCAGTCGTTCCTGGTCTGGAATTAAAGTGTATATATACTCATTTGGATCACAAACCCTAAAACCAGCATTCTAATATTTATAATTCCTCCAAGTGAAGTGCAATAAACCAGATCATTGATTTTGCCTTGGCCACATGTTTCATGGCTTGTGTTTAGACTTTAGTCCTACGTAAACTGGATGGTTTCATTTATAAGGTTAATTAAAAGCAAGGCATGGTTTGATCATTTATCAATTTCCTAACAGTATCAACTATCAAATATTAGTATCGCCACAATATTAGGAGACACAAGGATACACAATATTACATAACGCAGCCTATTGTAATATATCATGTAGCCAATTCACTTGATACTGAAGTGTCTCTGTCAGAACTTGGTTCTGAACTGTCTGTGTCAGGGTTGGTAGTGCCAACAATAACAAGCTTTCGTTCGTAGGGATGCAACTACCTGAAAAAAAATTCGACGTCTCGAGCGAAGGCCCTTCGTCTAGAGTATTAAAATCAGTAACTTAATTAAGCCTGGTTCACATATGTCTGTGGTATGCCTGCAACTGTATCATTATGCCTCTACTTGCCGCCGAAATACCGGCAAAGTTGAACTTAAGTCAACTTTCCTGGCCTACCGCCGATGTAACTGTGGCACTGGAGGCAATCGGCGAACAAATATTCACATAATTAATTTACGTTTTAAGCTACCACCGGCATCGTCGCCGGTACGTCGCAGGCATATATGTGAACCAGGCTTTTAACTAACTCCAGACAAAGAGCCTGCGCTAGATACGTACACATTCTCCTTATATTTATCAGGTAGTTGCATCACTACCAACGAAAGATTGTTACAAGGTTTTAGAAGCTACTATATATTTGAAAACTTACCCTCTGGCAGTCTGGATTCTGTATTACTGAGCGTTGCAAAATCATGTTGTTCACATATATAATACGGCAATACCGCCAGACACATGCACGGCTTCTGGTGTTATCATTTAGAGCAGTTTGTCTCTCTGAATGTAAGTTATAATTTATAAACCGTTTGCCGAGCGAAATCGGGAATCAACCATGACAAATATAATTCATAATCTAAACAGCAAATATGCATGTGCGCTGAAAAATGAAGATTGTTTAGGCATTAGACACAGCTTTAGACTTCAGAGGAAACCCACGCAATACTATGGCGCTCCGTTCCGGTCAAAATTATTTCAAGTCAACAAGTAATAGTCAAACATTAT